AGCTCCTTCTCCCCATTTGTCAAATGGTCTTTTGGCAATGACAAAAGTATTCTATTTTGGGAGGACAAGTGGTTAGGAGACAACTCCTTGGCCAGTCTTTTCTCGTTGGCCTACCATCTTGCCTTTTCTAAACTCAATCCTGTTGTTTCCCAAAACTCTTTTTCCGGGAGAGGGTGGTCTTGGAGATCCATCATTAGGAACCCGTTTCCCCTTCTCTTCCATAGTTTGGAACAATATATTGCCTAGTAAAGTTCAATTCTTCTGCTGGTTACTGAGTTTGTTTAGACTGAAGACTAAGGATAGGTTGGCTTCCCAAGGTTGGCTTCTTGATTCTTCTTGTGTCTTTTGCAATGCAGAAGAATCCCATAACCATCTGTTCCTCTCTTGTTCCCTAGCTAGTCAAGTTTGGATCCAACTCTTGCCGAGGATTGGTATTAGTGTCATCCCCCCGGATATCTATAAGTGTTTTGCATTATGTTTGGACAGCTCTATCCATCCTTTTGTGCGCCTTCTCTGGGGTATCTTTTTTCCTATAGTATGTTGGATCATCTGGAAAGCTCGTAATGACCGCATCTTCTCTAACTCCACCACCTCACCTCAACAGATCATCTCCAAGGCAACTTACTATATTCTTTTCTGGATAGGTGCTTCCTCTTCTAAGAAGGCCATCAAGCTGAAGAACATCATTCGTTCCTCTGGATTAGCGGATATCAGTGAATCTAGTGAGGACAGCAGCAGCTCCCCTTGAGCAACAGACACACCTCTTTTGTTCTTTTGGAGTTCTTCATGTCTGTAGTAGAGTAGTGTTATAGTTGTATTTGCTTTAGACATCTACTAGTGATTGGAATTTTACTCTATCTCAGAGTTGTTGCTTCAATCATCAGTAGATATCTACTTCTGTAATTCTCTTAAGCTTCTATATTTATATATGATAGGGCAAGTTGCCCTATTTTTACATCAAAAAAAAAAAAAAAGAATAACCCCACAAATTGGGAATCAAAATGGAGAAAACCCTCGCTTGTATTGAAAATTGTTTTCTCCTACTAAGTCCCCTATCTCTGGCCGCCCTCTGTTGTAGAACTCCCGCTTCATAGATTTCGTTTTTTAAAAAGAAAAGAAACCCTAAGGTTTAGAGGTATTTATTGATATTGAACCTATTTGCAAATACTATTTCTTTTACTCTTATAACTCTGAGGATTATATATGCAAAGCCCCTGTACCATTAAGTCCGATACATGATTAATTCATGAATTTCATTCTAATAAAGTTATACCTTAGGGAATTTCACTATACCGGGAAGAAATAATTGCACATTTTGCAAAAAACCTCTCAATAAATTTCTAATTTAATCAAAAAATATGTGGCCTTAAACTTCCTCCGGGTTCTGATGGGAGACAATGGATAAGATTAGGCGAGTTGGATCGGTTTTACCCTGCGAGCGTTTTGGTGAGTGGTTATGGTGCAGTTTTGGCCTTGACTAGAGTTTTTGTTTAGATAGTGGCCTCTTGCCTTATATTTTGTACTGGTTTCACCCTCGTAGTTACAGTTGGCTTGAGTTTGTGTTGTTACTAGTTTTGATTGCCTCTACTACAAATTTACTATTGTACCCTTATATTCAGTGGATTAACTAGACATATATAATCTTTAGTGTGTGCATGAGGATCCATCTAACTCCGTTCTCGTGTACATACCGCTCGTTGAGTTGTGACTTTGTCAATCACCACATCCTGACACAGGGTATATGGCAAAGGGTAAAATGGCATATGACTATGATTAAGCATATGGTGCAAATCAAGTGATGGGATATGCTAGAGAAATCTTGTTTAAACTGTCGCCCTACATAGATGTTGGATGGGCTAGGCTAGCCCAAAGCATGATGTTGGGGCTTGAGTATAACACTAGAT